CTATCGTTTTCTCTATTGTTACCCCTAAAGCTAAAATAGCCTCCCGCGTTCCTCTATTTCTTCTAAACCCAAATTGATCTTCCCTTTTTTCCATCATCCTCTGTACAATCCTAGTGAAGATTTTTATAGTCAGATACTAAAAGAGAAAAAACTTTTTGGGATCCCATTGAAACTCTTTTATATTCTGTCAACCCTCTCTGACGGAGGATTCTATCCTCTGAACAAAATATAAGATACATTACCATAAAAAGGCGCCCAAAGTGGGCTAAAAAACATATTTATATGAACTTTTAGGATGAACAGAATAAAAGCTTTTTATGTAGGGCGCATATAAGTAAATACACTTTCTATGGCTTTCGGGAGTCGTCAAAATTTCCGTATCGAACAAATTTCGTTTCCCAAAGTCTATCCCGAAAGTATCATTACATATGAAGCCGCAATTTAAACGAAAAATATACGGAATATGTAGATCCTGACCTACACTCCATATCGAAAAGCTGCATCAGTTTAATAATACAATACAATAATAAAAACAGCAAAATTTCGAATTATTTATTATTACAACCTAATAAATACTATATTTATGGGATACTAACTTGTAACTTATAAATAATTTAATCGTTTTCGGTAAATTTTGTTAAGAAACGTACAACTATTGAAACTTCTGAATGGAAATTCCTTAAGTTAAAAATATACTACCTACTGCACATGACAATACGTCCATCAGAAAAATATATATCAAATTTGGCTATTAAAAGTCAAAAGAGCTCGGTAGGTAGTAGCGCTGGCACGCTTCAAACCATTAAAATACCTTTTAGTAAAAAAGAACGAAATCGTTGATTCACATCCAAAAATAATTAATTACAGAGACAGTGCTGTTCGGGTTATTAGACACCACTTGAACTGTCTAATTCGAATTACTATCATTAGAAAAGAAATGCATCATACCCACGAGGATCCACATAGAATTTCGAAAAAAAAAACTGTAATATGAACAGATTTTATAATTTTGAACACAATTAGTAGCTGCTAAGTAAAATGATGATGATGATTTTAAGTCCTCTATCTCCCTACTTTCTCGTCATTTTAGGTGTTACTTGCCACTTCAAAATGGTCATCAAATATGAAACTATTAAACCCTAGAGATAAATTACATCTACTTTTGACAAACAACAACTTCAACCCCATATTTGCCATTCCAAAATTTACCTAAATCCAGTTATTTACTACAGAAAATTTATTTTTAAGGATTCAGGTCGACTTTAAAATATCGAGCACCTCAAATTTAATACATTCACATTCGTAATAATAACAATAAAAGAATATGACAGGAAAACAGGAAGTTTGCGGCATATTTTGGTTTCAAAAATGTCAGCTTTAGTAGCATCATATATATTCATATCATAATACCCATCATCACTACCCCTTCAGATTTATTAGTATCTGAGCGACCATGATAAAAATTTATGTCTGTACATCTACAAGGTGCCTTCTCCTTTGATAATTTATTCTCAATTGTACGAATGTTTAAATAGACATGTGAGTATTTGCCATCAAACTTAATGTCTTTTGGCAAGAGAAAATATCAGTGATAATGTGTGACAACATTCAGGAAACACGTCAACGTTAATTTGAATCCAAGCGAAGTTACAAGCGACTTCATGTTGTCTTCAACTTTTGTGCCTAGTCTACTTTACTTTCGACATACTAATAATAAAGCAACAGTCAATTGTTACACACAAAAATAATAAAAGAACAAACAAAAATGTATACTCGCTTTTATAAAAATTATTATTAAAAAAAGTACGCGAACAATGTTGGCAGAGAAATCAGACTCCTGAACAAAATTTTATTGATTAATTCGCTAGAAATTAGGCATCTGATCGTAAAATAGATCATACATGCATGTTAAAGAGGTAAAATATAATATATAGCCCATAAACTTGGACCAACCCAAGTTACCTCTAAATATACCCTATTAGCAGAGATGTGATTTGTAAATACAAAATAAAAAATATCTATTTTTATCTTGCATTTAAATATTTTTTCAAGAAAAGCATTTTGTATTTCATTTAAGATACTTTTCCAAACGAATTTTCTATTTGTTAGAATGCGAAATACACTTTTGCCATTAAAAGTTTTGCTAGTATCACCGATCAAACATTATATAAAATGATGAAAGAAAGTTGCTCACATATGTCATTGAAGGAATTATAACCTTAAAAAGGGGACAACGAGACATTTCATGAATGTCTTTTAATTATTTAACTGAAGAGAGCTCAAAAAGTTCTAAACTCCTTGGAAACGATAATCTAAAATATTGGATCGATATTGTTTTCCGGGTTCAATGTCATTGTCCATGGAATTTTGAAGTTCCAAATTGATATCAACACCGGCCAAATCACCACTTATCGTACCTTTAGCAAGGAACTACGAAATTCTATGAATTACGACAAAACAGCCCGAAAAACAATATGTAATTGATATACACCAGCTGTGTAAAACCGAAAACTACAAGGTATTGTGGTGTGCTAATAAATACATATAATCCAAAATTCTTAGAGAACTATTCGAAAAACTTCACTTATTAGATAAACCCAAAGCTAAAGAAACTATGGATTCCATTTCTTTCTCTTATAAACAATGTGTAAAAGATCAGAAAACAAAATGGGGTTGTAAATACTTTGATATAAAATGATNCATATAATCCAAAATTCTTAGAGAACTATTCGAAAAACTTCACTTATTAGATAAACCCAAAGCTAAAGAAAGTATGGATTCCATTTCTTTCTCTTATAAACAATGTGTAAAAGATCAGAAAACAAAATGGGGTTGTAAATACTTTGATATAAAATGATTGATATTGATTTTACATCTATAAAATTATTTGCAACCCCATTTTGGCTCTGGTATTCGACGATAAACAAACTATTTTGGCATTAATGTCTTTTTCCCAATATAAACGGGTGACAAAGGCAAATAAGGAAGCATATAGAAGAATTATTTGTTGTTGAACTGAAGAAACTATAACATAAAGATAGAAAAACTATATCTCAATCACGTCAAACGGAAAAATACGAATTAAACTCGATCTTCGCAGCTGGCGATATAGTGCAAACAAAACTATTAGTCTAGAAAATATTTAAAAATGAGAAAATATATTGGACAAACTAGACGTTCAATCAAAACCAGATTTAAAGAACATCTAGCTCATGCTAGGTTTGGTAGAGAAGAAAAATCTAGTGTTGCCCAACATATTCTTACTGATGGACATAATATTAATATTAATAACCTTAAGTTAGTTAAAGAAGTTAGGAATAATCGTTTACTAAACAGTTTTGAAAGTTTATACATTTATAAAAATAAACAAATTGTTCTTAACAATGACAACGGTCCCATCCCTGGATCTCCGCTATTTAGTTTAGTTTAATTACGTTTATGATGATGATGTTAAGGTCCATTGAACATCTACCTTGTTGGCTTCGGGTCATGTTCACTGAACCTTAACAACTATCAGTATAAATTAGGATTAGTTCTCATTTAGGTTTAGTTTACTTCAGTCCCTGAAGAAGGTAACTTTGTTACCGAAAAGTGCTTCGGACAACTACAGTGTCGTGTTTTGGCGTTGGGGTTTTGAGCTATTCTGTTTGTTCTACAACGTTTTCTTAAAAAATATTTTATACTTCGATTAATAAACACGATCTTTTTATCTTGTATGTCATTCAATTTTTTTGCAAAGAAATACAGGAGACGCCCGACCCCCAGAACCTCCCAAACATCTTCCTTACTACGAATTCCTTTTTGGAACAATATATCTAGGAATTTTTCAAGAAAATAGTTGTATTTTTTTAATTCAAAAGCTAGAGTAAGTATGTACCTACTATAAGATATTTATTTAGTGATATTATAACCTTTTCTAATGGAAAAAAAATATTCAGGACAACTGGCAAACGTTTTGAATTGCGTCGTCAAAGCTAAAGATCCAAAATATAGTACAAAAAAGAATTTTTTTTCTAGATCAACGCGGTGGTCTTCACTGTCTTTCTTTTAAATTGTTTTTTAAAGTATACAACGCTAATTTCATTTGTTTTTCTACTACAGTCGTCCAAATTACTTTTTTCTGGCATTGTTGAACTATAATTAACTTCATGTATTTTTCCGTTTGATCTGTCAACTGTCGTTACCCTCTACTATGTTTCTAAACACGTGTTCTTTAATAGCCAATCGTTTAGAAATTGCCACGTGCTTTTTTAACTCTAAAAACGAATATACATAACAATTTTTCTACACATAACAAACATTTATTTTGAAATTATTAATACATGAATACTAACTTTTCTTGTTTCTTACTTTTGGGTAGTATTACACACCTTAAGTAGATGATAATACAATAAAAATGTAATTCAAGTACTGAAGTAGTATAAAATAAATAACCTTTGAAAAGTATTGCAGACACTTTAATATATTAGGTAGTATCTACTGTTTATTTTTATGTGTAGATAGTATCATTTAACAAATAAAATATTATCTAATTTTTGACCCCAACAACAACAACAACAACTATTTATAATTCAAGTTCAGAAGTATTACACCTTATCGTTTCGCTTTCTAGAAAATAAAATTAAAAAAGGTAATTAAACGACATTATTAAAAGCCGTCTGCGCAAAGAAAAAAGGGTAAAGGTCTAGATGATGCCCCCCCCCCATCACCTTCGGGGGTAGGGGGGGGGGTCGAAAGAGGGTGGTCACCTGAGTAAAACCCCATAAAAAAATGCGGCGGGCTCACCCCCATAAAAAGTTATGGGGGTTGAAAGTTGATTATTTTGGCAATTTTCAGACACTATAATTCAAATAAAATTCAATAAAATAATTATTTTCAAGCGGTTGGAGGTGGGGGATCGAAAGAGGGTGGTCACTTGAACAAAACCCGATAACCTAACCTAACCCAATCGATTGATAAAGATATTTAAATAATGTTTTATATAACTTTCACANTGCTTACCACCCCCCGGCCAACGGGATGATCGAGAGATGGCACCGGACAATGAAGACCGCGATAATGTGCCATAGAACAACCAAATGGACTGACATCCTTCCTACTGTACTTCTCGGACTTAGAACAGTCTACAAGGAAGAGTTGCGAGCATCACCAGCAGAATTCCTGTACGGAACAACGCTGAGAATCCCCGGAGAGTTTTTTACTCATGAAGATCCACCGGTAGATCCGCATTTCTTCCTCGATGACTTCCGGAAACACATACGTGACATTAAACCGGTACCAGCAGCTCACCACTGTAGGCAAAAAACGTTCTGCTACAAGGACCTTTACACCTGCAGTCACGTCTTCCTACGATTAGACCATGTAAGGAAACCGCTCGAACAACCCTACTCAGGCCCACATGAGGTCATCAAGCGGGTTGACGACAAAGTTTTCACCATCAGACTCAACAACAAGGACGTGAACGTGAGTGTGGAACGTCTCAAACCAGCTCACCTAGCGACGGATGACGTCTTCCAGGACGACCAAACTTCATCCTCCACAAGCAGTCAACCGGCCATAACAAACTCTCAACAACCAGGACTCTCCACTGGAGCACTCAGGACCTACTCCGGGCCGAAAACCAACGCCTCCAGGGAAAAAAAAGGAGTTTCATTCCAAAGCAACACATAATACACCACTTATCCTTTACTTAGAGGGGGGTGGTGTGGGGATTACACTCATACAAGTAAACACACACATAACCTCAGTACACTCTACAACTACCTCTTTGCTCCATGACGACACAGCGCTCCGTACGGAGACTCGTGAAGTCAGGGATCTCAGGTTGGTAACAATGAATGTCACCAGCTTGGTGATTCATATTAGTTTTATTCATCGACTGTTTAGTCAGTAAGATTTTGTACTGCTTCGAACATTGATCAACCTCCTGTATTAATATTAATAAATTGTTATTGTTATTCACATTCACGTTCATTTAATTATATGTGCGAGTTATACCGAACCCCCACATAATTGGTGAATTAATAAATTGTTATTGTTATTCACATTCACGTTCATTTAATTATATGTGCGAGTTATACCGAACCCCCACACCGCCATTACCATATTATTTTCGCGAACGCCCTCTGCAAACACTGCGAACCCCTAGGGGTTCGCGAACCACCGGTTGGGAATCACTGATCTAGACCTTTACCGAAAAAAGAAACAATTTCCTTCTCTCTCCCTACCATCATAAATCAAACAGAACGATATTAATACGTAAAACTCACCATTTCTTCCTTAATTTCATCACCACGATTATCGAAACATGTTTCCTAATAAACGTCTTCAAACGGTACAAGTAAATAGAATTTATCGCTCTTTATTAAACAACTATATATCACAGCTAAACATTTGTTATCTTGCAGAACATTATCATGAGCAAAAGTCAAGAGCATGAAATTCAATCTTGTAATTCGAACGAGTTTGTTGTAAGTATATGTGAGCACAGCAAGAATATCAACTCACTTGTAATTAAGCCGACAATAAAACACCTAAAATTATAAAGCTACCTGGTTTTATCCAGTTTTACATCCTGCGATCCTGCAGATGAGTAGATATCTAAATAATTCACTCATTTATAAATATTTAGTAGGTATGGGAATGTTATACAATTAATATAGATGTATATCTAGTAATCTAATTTTCTTGTTTCAATCAATGTACTAGAATATATTGCTAATTTGTCGCTAATTTGTTACCAAACCCGAAAATTTGTCAGTACATTCAGTTAACTGAATAATTGACAAAATGTTAGCTTGATATCGACCTGGCACTTTTACACATAACTATCTCGAAATAGAAGTAATATAAAGAAATACTGTAAGGGCTACAATTTGTCGCTAAAAGATGGTACTTTTGCCTATTTTGTCGCTGGTTTATCATCCAGCTGCCACCAAAGTGTAGCGTATCTCGAAATAGATATTGCATAGAAAAATATTATAAGAGCTATAATTTGTCGCTAGAAAATGGTACTCTTATCCATTTTGTCGCCAATCTATCCTCGAACTGTCTGAATCAACGACAAATTGGCGACAAATTGTTGTCGCATTTTTCTATCCTATTTCTATTTCAAAATACACTATCTATGGCGTCACAACCACAGAATATATTAGCGACAAAATGAGTACAAGTACCATCTGTCAGCGACAAATTGGCGACAAATTATAGTCGCATTTTTCTATCCCATTTCGATTTCTAGATACACTATGTATAGTGCCACAACTGGAGGACAGATTAGCTAGAAAATGAGGTACAAGTACCATCCTTTAACAACAAATTAGCGACAAATTATAGCCTTTGTGGTACTTCTGCACGCATTACCTTCAAGGTGCGCTATGTGCAGTGCCAGCTTGATAACTCTACAAACGTCTTTCGCTGATCTGTTCGAAGCTGGACTCGCGACAAAATTGATAAAAGTATTGTCATTCAACGACAAATTGACGACAAATTACAGAATAAAAAGTTTAAACAGACAAAATGGGTACAAGTACTATGTTTCAGCGACAAATTATAGTCTTATTCTTATCCCCATTTCTATTTCTAGATACGTTATGTATGGCGTCACAACTACAGAACAGATTAGCGACAAAATGAGTACAAGTACCATCTGTCAGCGACAAATTGGCGACAAATTATAGTCGCATTTTTCTATCCCATTTCGATTTCTAGATACACTATGTATAGTGCCACAACTAGAGGACAGGTTAGCTAGAAAATGAGGTACAAGTACCATCCTTAAGCAACAAATTAGTAACAAATTATAGCCTCTATGGCATTTCTGCATGCATTACCTATTTGAAGGTGCGCTATGTGCAGTACCAGCTTGATAACTCTACAAACGTCTTTCGCTGATCTGTTCGAAGCTGAACTCGCGACAAAATGAATAGAAGTACTATCATGCAGCGACAAATTGACGACAAATTAAAGCCTTTACAGTAATTTTCTAGTGTATTTCTATTTTAAGATACGCTAAGTATAGCGCCTTAAGTGAAGGATAGAACAGAGACAAACACAGCTGAAGGGCAGATTAGCGACAAAATGGGTACAAGTGGCATCTTTCAGCGACAAATTATAGTCGTATTTTAACTCCCCATTTTTATATCTAGATGCGCTATGTATAGCGCCACACATCGACAACAGATCAGCGAGAAAAATAGTACAAATACCCATCCTTCAGCGACAAATTATTGCCTTTATTATCTATGCATAGCGTCATAGCTGAAGGATAGATTAACAGCAAAATTGGTACAAGTAAAGTGCCATCCTTTAACGACAAATATAACGTTTGAAGTAGATATATTTCTACCTCATTCCTACCTTATGTATGGGGTCACAGCTGGAGGGCAGATTAGCGACAAAATGGGTACAAGTACTATCTTTCAGCGACAAATTATTTATAGTCGTATTTTTACCCCCATTTCTTTTTAGAGATACGTATAGCGTCACATTTGGACAATAGTTAGCGAGTAAATGGGTATAAGTACCATCATTCAGCGACAAATTAGCGACAAATTATAGCCCAAAGACCCAGCGATTCAAAATTTAGAGGAAATATTCCTTGAGTAGGGGTGCAGTAGCGAGGCATTTTTTGAAATTCCATTCCTAATAGGGTAAAAAAGGGGTAGTAATGTTTACACGAAGAAACACCACTTTTATTTTCAATGCACAATTAAGATTTTTTTTTTAATAATGTAATCAAAAATTTACAAAGTTTAGCGATATAGGTTTACTATTGGTCAGCTAATTGAATTTATAAATATACTGTTACAAATACATAAAAATACCCCATTTCGATTTCTAGATACACTATGTATAGTGCCACAACTAGAGGACAGGTTAGCTAGAAAATGAGGTACAAGTACCATCCTTCAACAACAAATTAGCGACAAATTATAGCCTTTGTGGCATTTCTGCATGCATTACCTATTTGAAGGTGCGCTATGTGCAGTGCCAGCTTGATAACTCTACAAACGTCTTTCGCTGATCTGTTCGAAGCTGGACTCGCGACAAAATTGATAAAAGTATTGTCATTCAACGACAAATTGACGACAAATTACAGAATAAAAAGTTTAAACAGACAAAATGGGTACAAGTACTATGTTTCAGCGACAAATTATAGTCTTATTCTTATCCCCATTTCTATTTCTAGATACGTTATGTATGGCGTCACAACTACAGAACAGATTAGCGACAAAATGAGTACAAGTACCATCTGTCAGCGACAAATTGGCGACAAATTATAGTCGCATTTTTCTATATTAGGTAGTATCTACTGTTTATTTTTATGTGTAGATAGTATCATTTAACAAATAAAATATTATCTAATTTTTGACCCCAACAACAACAACAACAACTATTTATAATTCAAGTTCAGAAGTATTACACCTTATCGTTTCGCTTTCTAGAAAATAAAATTAAAAAAGGTAATTAAACGACATTATTAAAAGCCGTCTGCGCAAAGAAAAAAGGGTAAAGGTCTAGATGATGCCCCCCCCCCATCACCTTCGGGGGTAGGGGGGGGGGTCGAAAGAGGGTGGTCACCTGAGTAAAACCCCATAAAAAAATGCGGCGGGCTCACCCCCATAAAAAGTTATGGGGGTTGAAAGTTGATTATTTTGGCAATTTTCAGANTGGCGACAAATTATAGTCGCATTTTTCTATCCCATTTCGATTTCTAGATACACTATGTATAGTGCCACAACTGGAGGACAGATTAGCTAGAAAATGAGGTACAAGTACCATCCTTTAACAACAAATTAGCGACAAATTATAGCCTTTGTGGTACTTCTGCACGCATTACCTTCAAGGTGCGCTATGTGCAGTGCCAGCTTGATAACTCTACAAACGTCTTTCGCTGATCTGTTCGAAGCTGGACTCGCGACAAAATTGATAAAAGTATTGTCATTCAACGACAAATTGACGACAAATTACAGAATAAAAAGTTTAAACAGACAAAATGGGTACAAGTACTATGTTTCAGCGACAAATTATAGTCTTATTCTTATCCCCATTTCTATTTCTAGATACGTTATGTATGGCGTCACAACTACAGAACAGATTAGCGACAAAATGAGTACAAGTACCATCTGTCAGCGACAAATTGGCGACAAATTATAGTCGCATTTTTCTATCCCATTTCGATTTCTAGATACACTATGTATAGTGCCACAACTAGAGGACAGGTTAGCTAGAAAATGAGGTACAAGTACCATCCTTAAGCAACAAATTAGTAACAAATTATAGCCTCTATGGCATTTCTGCATGCATTACCTATTTGAAGGTGCGCTATGTGCAGTACCAGCTTGATAACTCTACAAACGTCTTTCGCTGATCTGTTCGAAGCTGAACTCGCGACAAAATGAATAGAAGTACTATCATGCAGCGACAAATTGACGACAAATTAAAGCCTTTACAGTAATTTTCTAGTGTATTTCTATTTTAAGATACGCTAAGTATAGCGCCTTAAGTGAAGGATAGAACAGAGACAAACACAGCTGAAGGGCAGATTAGCGACAAAATGGGTACAAGTGGCATCTTTCAGCGACAAATTATAGTCGTATTTTAACTCCCCATTTTTATATCTAGATGCGCTATGTATAGCGCCACACATCGACAACAGATCAGCGAGAAAAATAGTACAAATACCCATCCTTCAGCGACAAATTATTGCCTTTATTATCTATGCATAGCGTCATAGCTGAAGGATAGATTAACAGCAAAATTGGTACAAGTAAAGTGCCATCCTTTAACGACAAATATAACGTTTGAAGTAGATATATTTCTACCTCATTCCTACCTTATGTATGGGGTCACAGCTGGAGGGCAGATTAGCGACAAAATGGGTACAAGTACTATCTTTCAGCGACAAATTATTTATAGTCGTATTTTTACCCCCATTTCTTTTTAGAGATACGTATAGCGTCACATTTGGACAATAGTTAGCGAGTAAATGGGTATAAGTACCATCATTCAGCGACAAATTAGCGACAAATTATAGCCCAAAGACCCAGCGATTCAAAATTTAGAGGAAATATTCCTTGAGTAGGGGTGCAGTAGCGAGGCATTTTTTGAAATTCCATTCCTAATAGGGTAAAAAAGGGGTAGTAATGTTTACACGAAGAAACACCACTTTTATTTTCAATGCACAATTAAGATTTTTTTTTTAATAATGTAATCAAAAATTTACAAAGTTTAGCGATATAGGTTTACTATTGGTCAGCTAATTGAATTTATAAATATACTGTTACAAATACATAAAAATACAGTTAGTTATATATACAGGCATATATATTATGTACTTAAGTTCCTTTTGTGTACAAATTATTTCGTAATACAGGTATGTGTTTTTGTACCTACCCATATTTTCGTTATAATTTAACAAACGCGTATTAATTCATGTCTAACGCTTTGAGTAAATAATTTATGTAATTCTCCGAGAAAATGACCATTTTCCGGCAATTTCTATCTCTGTACCACATTTGAACCGATGCGGCAGCAAGTTCGACGTCACAATCATCGGACTTGCGATTAAAAGCACGTGCTATCACGTAAAGGTACACGCCTTTACCTTTACAAAGTCGATCAAAAATGCAACAACCAAACATCTACACAATTTTCGGAAAATGTCAACTAAATTAACCACTCGATGCCACACATTAAGAAATGAACCAATTTTAACCGCAACTTTTCGAACTAGCGCAAAAACTTTTTTTAGTAGTATGCGTGCCTATCTAAAGCTTACGCAATATTTTTAAGACTACTTTGGAAAAAGTTTATGAAGACTTTATTAGTAAAAAAAATCAAACCAGGAAAAGGAAAAGCGAGTGTAAATATCTATTTTGTAAATATAAAAACTCACCGTTTAATGTTAATGTGCGCCATCTTGTCCTTTTGCCCTTTTTTCCCATTTTTCACAAAGGACTCAAGAAATTTGCGGGAGTTTCACTAACATTACAGTCCGAATCGACAAATTTCAACACGATTTTTTGCAGTTGCACTAGAACTTCTTACGAAAAATGACTTTTGATGGTTATTAATTAAAGTTGACTTTTTTTGACTCACTCTTACTAGATTTTTAAGAATTTCAGCGTTTTTTTACTTTTTTTTTAATGTAATCCTTTAACAAGAAAAAAATACACCTAAAGACATATATAGATGCTTTTTTTTTCTAAATAGTGACAAGGAAAAGTCTTAAAAAATATTTACGCGACGAAAAGCGTAGGAAAGAAAACTCAGCTTCATAGGAAAGACCAGAAAACCCCCGGATTACTTTGCCGGTAGAAAGAAAAATGTAAGAAGTGTGCACTGTTCACGGCCGGTAACCGGAAAATCAATGCTATGCACAACTATTTATTATCACATATCCTTGAGCAGCACAGATTTGGACGTTTTCTCGGCGATCATTTTATTTATTTTATTACATAACGTTATGAAATATCAGCGATCATCATTGCAGTTTTTTTTTTCGTATTACATAACACACAACGTGCTGTTACAACAGCACATCGACCACAACCCGTCGCGCGCCAGCGTTTGAATGCACATCCCGCAAACCAACTCGTTATCTTTATTTCAGACGAATACGGATCCAAGGCTTCGTTTATCGACTAAAATTCTATCTGACTTTGCGTACTAAATCGCGAATACGCGGATCGATCAAGAAAACGCAACATAAGGATAAAATAGTCAAATGACCTTCTTATAATATGACGTCATAATATTACGTAACTAAATGATGACGACAGAACTATCTAATGAAGTACTTCGTTAAATGTCACTTGGTAATGCTTTTTTAGAGTTTTAATAACGTAATTTATGAATTTATTTCTTTCATCGGTGAAAAGTTCATTCAAATAAATCGATAAAATGTACATGCTTGGTAATATATATTATATATGGTTATATTACAACAAAAATGGAAAAATAATACAAATATTTCAGAAAGATCGAAAAAGAATCTTATTAGTCTAACTGATGAGTAAAAAGACCAAAAACTACTACATATCTTTTTGTACATAGTTAATAAATAGTAATAAATAAATAGTAAGTGTCTGATTCTCCTTTAAAAAGATAGTTTAGTTTTTTAATTGCATTATTTTAAACTCCTCGGCTAATTAAACTATATTTAGTACAAAACTAATTTGAGTAAACCTTGTATACCATTTAGATCAAACAGTTAGCAGTTCATTCTGATTGGTTCAAAGGAATACGTTACAAACGTCAATGCAAATGTTTAAAATTACTTCTGATTGCATCTAGTTTTATCCTGAATGATCTAGGATAAGTGAAAACAAGCTGACGCCTCTTTAATCCATCGACTTAATTAATGTAATCAGATAATTTCTTTATTTTCTTATTCACCTTAGTAGATGCTAATTTTGAGGTTAGTTAAACGTCATTTTTATAAAATTGTCCAACAAAACCCAAAAAAATGATGAATTTACCAGAAAGTGATAGCGAAGATGAGTTACCACCTGGTTGGGAAGAAAGAGTGACTGGAGATGGAAGTGTTTACTATGCAAATCATCTTACAAAAAACACCCAGTGGACCCATCCAAGAACCGGCAAAAAGAAGGTTGTTTTGGGAGATTTACCTTATGGCTGGGAAAGATGTATAGATAAAAGCACCGGTAAAGTTCTCTATATTGATCATGAAAATCACAGAACCACATACACGGATCCAAGACTGGCATTTGCCGTTGAAGAGAAAGAACATATTAACGATTTTCGTCAGAGGTTTGACGCTTCAAGTACAGCCCTACATGTAACTATATATTATGAAAATGCCTCTTCCAGTAGTACATATTGTATTATTAATTTAAGGTACTACATGGCAGAGATTTAACAAATACAACTGCTCTTATTACAGGAGCAAACACAGGAATAGGTTTTGAGACAGCTCGATCACTATTAAAGCATGGTTGCAAGGTAATTTTTGGCTGTAGAAATGTTCGAGCTGCTGAAGAAGCTATAGAGAAAATACGACAGGAAAAGTCAACTGCTGCAGAAAACTGTGAAGCTTTACATCTTGATTTGACATCACTTAAAAGTGTTGTTACATTTGCAAATGTAGTAAAAGTAAAATACAAAGTTTTGAATGCTGTGATATTAAATGCAGGCGTTTTTGGGCTGCCCTACTCAAAGACTGAAGATGGATATGAAACCACATTCCAAGTAAATCATCTATCCCATTTCTACTTGACGTTATTGCTATATCCCTTGCTCAAAACTGGAAGTAGAATTATTGTAATTTCTTCTGAGTCTCATAGGTGAAAAAAATAGAAATTATGAAACTTACATTCACTTTTATAATATGCATTACCTTTTATCCAATATAAAACTAAACAATTGTAATGTAAAATATAAGCAGCATTTATTTTAGGTTCGCAAATTTGACACTGGACACAATTTGTCCCAGTATTTTATCACCTGACTCGCCTGCTAAATACTGGGATATGATGGCTTACAATAATTCAAAACTATGTAACATCTTATTTGCAAAGCAGCTTGCAAAAAACTGGCAAAGTCATGGAATATCAGTTTTCAGTTTACACCCTGGGAATATGGTATCAACAAATCTTGCAAGGTGTATAACTCCATAAAACCTACTCCCTCACTTTTATTATATGAGTGGTTGAATTACATAAGTTTTATCATTTTGTTAATTTCTCCGTTCTTTTAGGAATTGGTGGCTCTACCGACTTCTTTTTGCAGTCGTGCGCCCCTTTACAAAGTCATTACAACAAGCTGCAAGTACAAATGTCTTTTGTGCCACAGCTTCAGAACTGAATGGACTTTCAGGACTTTACTTTAATAATTGCTGTCGATGTGAGACTAGTAAAGAAGCAAAAAATGACGAATTGGCAAAAAAACTGTGGGATATTAGTGTGGATATGGTCAAAAATGCAATTGGACCTAATGCCTTTGGTGAACTTACGCTGATAGAGGATATCTTTTAATCATAATTATTAAACTATTTATAGCTCAATAAAAATTTCATAAAAACGGAATTGCATTAACCGAATTAATCTTTTATAAGTTGAAGTAAAAGGTAAGAGTTTTTGATGGCTTCATTTAATAATTACTTTAGTAAATAAAACAATTATTATTTTGATGAGAAACTATAATTATGTTAAAATAAATTCAAAATTATTATAAACTGAAAAATAGATAATATATAATAGTATTAATTTAATTTTTACCACAACTTGTTTTATTAAAATGGAAATAGATTAGGAAAAAGTTATCTTGAAAACTGCCTTGTATCAGGTCCTTTTCGCTTAGGTTGTCTATAAATCTTTTCATTCTTAAAATTTCTGTCCCCACTCGCATTATAGTTTTTGTAAAATCCAAATCCCCCGCCACCCCTTCTTTTATTAGTTTTTCCATGATGTTTAGCAGATACTTTCAAATCAACCGCTGGTGGTACAGTAAATCCAAACGATTTTGCCACCTTCGCCAAATCGAGAGTGGAAACATCGAAAATCAGTTTCAAATGGTGCGAATCGTAAGCTCGAACGTAAGCTTTGAAACCTTCTTTAGCTGACATATTCAAGAAATAATTTTTACCGATAAGCTTCTCAAGTTGCAATTGAATGTCTGCGATTTTATTCCAAGAAAATTCGAATTCGTTTAATGGCACTTTAGCCTGTTTTAAATAACGTAAGAAACCAAGTTCTTCGGGGCGAAGTATTAAAAGGGCATAGCCCCGACCCCCTTCACCTCGAGCTGTTCTACCCACTCTGAAATATGGAAAAGTTACAATTTCAATTAATCAGCAAAACAATAGCAACCACAAATTGTCTTCACTAAAAATTAACTCTATTTTACTATATGATTGTTTTACCTGTGAATATATTCTTTAGGATCGTCTGGAGGATCGTATTGTACAATCCAATCAACTGCTGGAATATCAAGACCCCTAGCAGCTACATCGGTACAAAGCAATATTCCAGTTTCAGCATTACAAAACTGGAAGAATGTGGTTGTACGTTTTGTCTGCTTTTGTTTGCCATGAATACACATAACAGGCAAATCAATATAATTGAACAACTCATGATGATATTTAACTGACATGCAAGAACTGAAGAACACCATCACCTTTTTATTACGATTTTTCTTAAGGAAGGTGAAAAGGACAAGCAAACGTTTGTCTGAGGGGCAAACAACGTAACCCTGCTGCAATCCAGAGACTGTAGCAACCTCTTTAGTGTCATCAACATCTGAAATCATGTTTAATGTTAAAGGTTAAAGCTAAAATAGGCTTTTGCTTATTAAAACAGTATTTCAGCGTTTTTTACAAAGTTTTTTTTTTATATGCCCAGATTAAAAGAACAGTAATTTTGCCCCAGGTTAAATTGTTTAGAATCTTCAAATATTTCATCTAAAGTTACATGAAACCTTTTAATGAGTAAAATATCATTTAAAAGAGGTTTAGGACATGTAATAACTAAAAATAACTAGCAATGAATGCACAAAAGCATAAAAAAAGGGTCTATGTAATCAAACATCAAAGGGACTGTAAAAAGTTTTAAGATAACATGTTAAAGTTCTTACCAACATATATAGGCTCTTTCTTCAGGGCTAAAGAAGTCAAAGCTTCAGTTTTCTTATTTTGAGTTGCACTAAACAACATTGTTTGTCTTCTTTTTGGCAATAAATTTATTATCTGTTTCATTTCTTCTTCAAAACCCACTTCTAATATTCTATCAGCTTCATCAATTACTAAACACTGCAAATTTTTATACAAAAAGTCAGGGGTATTTTGCATATGGTCCAACAGCCTTCCAGGAGTTGCAACAAGAATATTTATACCTATGTAGTAAAATTGAAATTATCATTTCAGTTGGAAACAATAAAAAAAAATAAAATTAAGTAAATTTTTTTTTCACCTTTAGATAATTTTTGAGCTTCTGCCTGCCTTGAAGCTCCACCCATTACTAATCCATAAGTATGGTGGTGATATTTCATAAGCTCCTTAAGAACTCCAAATGTCTGCATTGATAATTCTCGTGTTGGTGACAAAATTATAACACCTGTGCCATTCCTTGGCATAAATTTGAGTTTATAAATAAGTTCAATTGCAGGAATTAAAAATGCTAATGTTTTTCCTGATCCTGTCTTAGCTGCTCCCACTAAATCCTTTCCTTCTAATAAAGGTGGTATGGATTTAGCTTGAATTTCAGTCATATTGGTAAAACCCATGTCCACAATACCTTTTAACGTTGATTCACAAACAGTGTCTTTTAACACTTCAAAACGACTGTTGCTTAATATTTCTAAAGCAATACTTGACCCTGGCAACTGTAGCCTGTCATCCTCATTCTTTGAAGCAGTTTCACTTTTATTCTCTTCTGCTTTCTCGGTGTTTTGTTGATCACTGCTCTTATTTAGCTTCTTTAGTTTCTTATTAGTATTTTCTGTAATTTCATTATCCTTCATGTCATTGCTACTACCTTCTGTTTGTCTATCAGACTTTTTGAAGCTTTCTCCTATAAAGTCACCAGAACTAGTTTCACTGATAGTTCGTTTCTTCCTCTTTTTAATTTTATTTGGTACTATATGTGAAACATTCCCATTTTCTTCATTTTTACTCTTGTTTAAAGTATTTTCTGTATTAGAGTTAACCTCTAAGGAGTCTTCTAAATTACTCTTTTGGACCTCTTTCTCAATAATTTCATTCTCACTTTTCTTTTTCTTTAACAAAAGTAATTTCTTTTTCTCACGTCTTTTAATTTTACGAAGTAAAATTTTATCTTGTATGGACATCCTTAACTAGAAATCAATAAAGCGCACGTGAAAGGCTAAGGGTACAATATATTTTGTGGTTATGTTCATAGATAATAGATACAGAAAGGGTTATGTTCACGGCCATAGATATTTATGGCTCATGTTGTGTTTGTCAATAATATGACAGTTTTAATCATAGATAGTTATCATGTTAATACGTCGTATGTCGTATGTTCAGTCGTACAATTACGTTCAACACGAAGCATTAAGTCATTAGAACTACAAAAGTAATGTCAAACTGTGGTGGAACAAAATTATTAAGAAAAGTGCATATTGAAAATTCAGCTAACAGCAATAAATTAAGCTTTTTGATAGAAGATGCTTTTTATTGAGGCACCTTAAAAGCAGGAAATACAGAATCAATCTTTCAAAGAGATAATACAAGGAAGGATAATATACGAAATTTAAATAAGGCTGTAACAAAAATGTAAATGTTTCCCCTCATCAAGAAAAATAATTTTTAAACTGTTTAAAGACCTTTAAAAAGCATTCAAAACCATAATAAATGATTAATAATTCTAAAAAAGGGGTCTCGAATGCCTTTTTAATTTTTTTAAACAGTTATAGAAATTTATATTTCTTGATGGAAAGAAATTTTTACATTTTTGCTTGGAATTATCCAACTTTAAAAAATTTTACTTCTTTATATCATCTCTTTGGAAGATAAGCTCTTTATTTCCTGCTTTTTAGAGCGCCTCAATAAAAAGTATCTTTTACTATTATTTTTTACATAATTCTATTATACAATTTGTTTATTGTTTCAGCGCTTTAAACGATTGTCAATGGAATATTCTTTGTAATTGTTACGATTAACGCATGAAAATATTTATCCACCATACTTGGCGGCTTGTTGGGACATGTAATGGTAACGTTTTATTTTACATTAAGTTTCTTTAAAATTTATTTATTTCTTTTTACTTGGGATACTTTTCAAATATCCGTTCCTTTTTTACATTATTTTTCTTTTCT